TACATATTTCTGCATGTTTTTATGAATATTTGTTACAGTATGTTCCTTTTTCAGATCAAAATTCCTATACAAATGCAATTGAAATAACAATGTATAATAAAGTAATTACAGGAAAAACTGTCATACAGTGTATTAACTTCAAGTTCATGGAGGAGATGCATTTTTTCTGAAAAATAAGACATAACAACTTTAGCTTTTACATTTTGATGACAAAAAGCCCTATATTATTTACAATTCTGCTTGGAATAATTACAATGGTAAGAATTCATAATTTCACTGGCACTTACTCCTTTTAGAAAAGATACACTATTTTAAATGTATTCTCACACATTCTTGTCAGTTGGAATCTGTCTTGGTAAACTATTTCATTTTGTAGATCACATGATACCTAAATGTTATTAAACAAAAAAATTCTTTAGGTCTTCATTTGAATACAGACCTGAAATGCAGCATTAAGAACACTAAACATGGATTATTTTTTCTAGTAGCCTCCTTGTCACAGTGCATTAATAAAAGACACAATCTTATTTGCTATTTTTAGTTTTACTTTTAGCACACAGTCGTGGAAACATATGCATCCTACAAATATAAGTGAAAGGTTATAGACATTTTGGATAAGTAGTAAAATAGTGAACATTTATGTACTAATTGTTTCCTAAACTAAATATTCATAGCAACACAATTTTAGAATTTTCAGATCATGCTAAACAATGTTTAAATGTTCATAAAAATTACTGTTGAATGAAAAGAATGGAAGTTCATTCATCCACTGCTAAATGTAATAAATTAATATAGAATACATTATTTAATTTATTTCTACAGTATTTTAACCTTATTCATAAAATTTAATTTAAAATATATCTAATAGTGACTATTTAATTTGAGATAGGGAAATGTCAATAACTGGAAAAAAATACTGTATCTGCTTTTTTTTTTTTATTAATAGTTCTTATCTAGAATATGTGCTTTTACTTGTGCCATTCACTTTAGTATACTTGCACCAGAAACTTGGTAAAAGCACGCTTGCTAACACTCTTAAAGGAGTAGTACAGGATACAATGTCTTTAAATCCAACTACTAAACTAGCATAGCAATCTGTGTAATATACCGTTAATATCTTTCCACTTATGGTGCACAAATCACAAGCCACAAAACTGTTCTTTTACTATAGCGATCCACAGAACGAGAGCTGGAGGTAGGTCATAAACAATGCTCTGTACCTGAGTAACAAGGTGTATCAGATGAAGCGCCCATGTGATCAGGGAAGTGGACCTCTCAGTAGTACAGTGAATTGGTTTTGGACGGCAGACTAAGTCCACATTGATTGATCAGCCAAAACTTCTTTCTTTCCAGCTTAGTAACTCTGAAGCAAGATCAACGTAAATGGCAAACATAGAAACTGAAAATTACTGAATGGTAGATGACACTTAGAAGAAGCCATGTTTTCCATAATAGCATGACTGATAAAACACACAAGCTTTTTATGAAGGAGTGATAGACAAATTATTATTTTATTGGGCAAGGTTGTTAGTGTCACTGGAAGTAAAATCAATAGAAAGAAACTAGTATCAGTTAAAGAAATTGGTAACTAATGAAGAAAAAAATGAAGCAGTACACTGGAGACACATGAAACTCAATTGCAAAGAGGTGTGGGAGTACAATAAAAGCTGACAGGAGAAACACGAGGTATTAAAAAGGATAAATAAGAACATCCAATATATTTTAAAATTAATTGACTGCTAAATATATGTGTCCATAAACAAACACTGAAGTACATTGTCTCCCGTATGTTTCCAATGAACAATTAATTAAATATGACCATTGACCATTACCATATGTAAATTACATGGAAGAACAACAAATGACAGAGCATTAACCCTCTGGCACAATTCTGCAACACACTAGTTCATCAATAGTCCCCCCCAAAATATGTTTTAAATGCTTGAGACTTTGTACATTTTGTTTGCTAAACTTCTGTTGGAATAGCACCTTATAACTGATGTCACATGTATTTATTATAAATATTGAATTAAATTAAAAGGAGCTATGGCTTTCAATTTTTATCTCTGATCATGCAATCTGACAACTTATTTTTGAACCCTTATTCATTTAATCCAAACCTCAATTTAAATTTTAATATGTCAGAAAGATGAGAAGGTGAATAAATCTATATAAACCAAGACATCAACATCACTGGGAATTATATTTTATCCAGGCATTTATACCACTTGAAGCAATGAAATTATATGCAAGATGATACAATTCTGACAGACTTTGTGATTTATACAGTACTTGAAATACGGATTTCCACAAAGGTACTACTCTTGCAAATATTTATGTGCAACCACACATGGGAAAAGTCTCTCTGATTTCCATGGGATTGGGGCTTTATAGTATATCACTGATCTTCCATTCCCATGCAAAAAGGATTTGCTACTGACAGTTGACCTTGTTATCTATGCATTAAGGACTCAAATGCAGCAATGAGTATGTTTATACTGACAAGTCATACTACTCTATGCTCTCTTCCCAGTCTTGGGCTAGACAAAAAAAATATAAAATACATACTGTCTATCTCTATGTATTTATACATGTCTAAAAATTATCTTTAATATAGTGTAGATTTTTTAAAGTGCATATGCTGTTCATTCATACTATGTATAAATAAAAAAATATAAGCAAAAAAGTACTATGAGAATGTTATACAGAGAATTTATGAATGTTTTTAACATCAGTTCTGATTTTTGAGTACATAGAATTCTACAATACTGTCATTTCCCAGTTCTGTTAAACTCGTAAACAGAGATGTAAAAAGGCCTGTTTTCTGGTACTCGTGGCTTTTCTACTTATAGCAGTGACTTTTTCCTGTTATAGTTACCCTTTTAATGGACACACAATATGTTACTCTGTGCCCAAGCTCACCTACTCTTTCTTTTCTCAAAAGACAAGGCACATCTGCCACCTGCTCTAGTCTGTGTCCCAGCAACAACTGTCGAGCAGCAAAAAGATTGATTATCAGTCAAAAACCATTCAACAACACCAGATTTTGGTAGGTTAAGCTTGCTGATCCAGCAAGAGATGGTGTGAAATTTTCAGTAATGTGTGCCAACATTTTGGTGCTAAAAGAACAGCAGTGCATGTCACAGGGAAACACAGCCAAAGATGCGCAGACAAAGCACAGAAGTTTTTGTTTTGAACTTGGCTTGCAAGAGGAAAATGAGAGAAAGAAAAAAGGACTTGCTTAATGAATTTGAAAAATCTATCACAACACTCATGTCATACGCATGGAGAAACTATAATAAGAGTACTAGCAAAGACTTTGTAACAAATTATTGCAGTACCTGTATAAAGATACTGCAATAATAGGACCGTTTCAATGACTCATACAGTACCAATAGCAGTTTTATCACACACTTTTGCAAGAATAACTACAAAGATCTGTGCCTTTTACTGAACATACAGGCCATTCATGATAGCTGTTCTAGCGAACGGATCACCTGTATCGTACTCAGAATAATTTTTATGTTATAAACAACAGCTTATCATATATAACATTGATTATGTAAGATAGAGGCTTACTAACATAAGTTTAATTCATTAATGCCTCCAGGAATATGTAAACATACCTTTAATTACAGGACTTATATTAGAAAGGCTCTACTAATAAATATTAGATTTTTGTGTGTATAGAGAGAGCTATGCCGTTTTCTTAGGCAAGTAGCCAGTAATGAGTACTATATTGATACCTTCTTGAAACTATTTTGTAATGAGTATTGATCTGTAAAATAAATAGTGAAATATGGTTTGAATATTTAGAAATTCAGAATGAAATATTTAACATGAAAGTATGTCTCCTAATACTTTGTACGATAACAAACTCTATTTAAAAACTATGTAGGAAAATAAAAGCCAAGGCTTGTTTCTAAAGAAAGTACGTAAGAAAAAAAAATGCCCAAAAGTGCAAAGAAATATATATAAAATATATACAATATGTATATAAAATATGCAGACTTGTTGAATGATTTGTCATTTGTTTTTCTGCTATCCCTAGCTTTTTAAAAAACACATCCCATTTTAGTATTACAAGACTAGACAAATTGGAATGATTCACATCATGTTAAACAATTTCTCTTATTTGCATTTCTCACTGGAATTTTACACTGGAATCATAGATTACTACTTACACATACACTATCCTAATTATAATTTTGCTTTTTATTATACTTTAGCTTATATCAACTAGGAGTTCTCTATCACAAATGCCAGCTAAATTAATAGTCTAATAAAATACCCAATTGTTGTCTTGAATTTGATACGGAACCCTGCCAAAGCTAATGTTATAAAATGTTACCGCAAATTTTCTGCAGAAATCTCCAACGTACTTCAAGATCTCAAAATATGACAGAATGAAACATTTACATTCATGTTTAAACTGTAAAGGATTCAGAAATAGTTTACCCCCCCTTGTAAAAAAGCAAACAAGATTACCAGATCAGTAAAGGAATGAGAAGGAAGGAATAAAAATTTTAATAATGGTCCCACCAAGCAACCTAAAATTAATAAAGCACAGTAAAGTAGATATTCCATATTACTGTATTAGACTTCCAAAAAATTTAAAAAAATGACATTAATGAATCCAATCTTACATTTTGGATTATTTTTGCTAGTGGAATAAACCTAATTAATTATGTCTGTTTGATGTCACTGAAACTAAACAGTAAATTCAATAATCTCTTTACATTTTCACCATTTAACCTCCTGCAGGCTCCCTAATGTCTATTCAGATCTATATTAAATTAAGTACCAATGCTAATGAAGGGCAATAAACGTGGCTGTCAGTAGATTTTTCTTTCATTAAGCACATTATCCTCTTACTGAGCTGTAAATGAGTAAACATTAGTTTTGTTAAACCATGCAAAAAGACAGGAGGAAAATCATTTTTAATTGCACCCCTTAAGCCATTTGCTGGGGGTTCTCTGTTTCGGTTTTGAGTTTTTTACCTTTTATTTTTTTGAATGGATATAAAAAGGTCTCTCCAGTTGAAATATAAACGTCGGCATCATGGGGTATGTCTTTAGGTTCTAGTGCTTCAGTGCTGTCTGCCAAGAACACATCGTGCAGCCATGTTCAGATTCAGCTTTTCAGAGCAGTCCTCCAGCAGCTAAATGAATGCAAGAGGTAAGGATTACAGATTACAAACTGATTTATTTTATGGTCAATATTTACTCGGAAAAAATAGCATTGGAAATTTACCAATCATAGTAACCGCACTAGAAGTCACTTAGTATTTTAGTGATTATTACTAGAAATCATAGGATAAGAATATGAAAAAAACACAGAACCTTAAAAAGATTGGATTTCAAGTGTTGTGCTCTTGCCTTTTAATGTCAAATAATATTGTACACTATGCTGTAACTTATTTCACTTCTCATTTATAAGATTTTTTAACAAGTCACACATTTTAGGAATAGCGTGCAAAGTTCCACGTAAGCTTATTTTAAAGGATAAAAAGGATTTACGTTAGGGTTTGAAGCAAAAGCTACAAATAAACTTTATGCATGCAAGAAAACTTCTATTAGAGGTTACTGGCTAAATGAAGGACACAGAAACTTTAACAAAGATCATTCTTGTGCCATTTTTGCAAGCTATGACTTTGATTACATTTGGCTGCTGTTTAATAACTTTGGATACTTCAAACACCCTCCGGACATGCCAGAGTTTTTACACAGAGAACACAGTTAATTCTGTTGGGGGGGGGGAAAGTTTAGGATATTAAAGAAATAATCTAAGGTATTTGCCTTTATTTTTTATTTGTTTTTTATAATTTTTATGATAATTGTGAAAATTGTGAAAAAACAATCTGAACGTATGGTCATTAAAATTCTTCATAGTATAAGAATTTAGTCCACAGCACCTAAATTATAAATACAGTAAATACAGTGAAACTTGACTGTTATAAGAAAAATAGGCTTAATTTATCCCAAACTGAGTTTATTCAGAACTTCAGAATACTTTGAAATTGGTTGTTTAATTCCACTATGAAGTCCTTTGATGCAATATCTTAAGAATTTCGTAAGAAAATAAATCACCTAATTTTAAAAGTATTTTTTTTAAATCTATCAGCACAAATACAGAAAAAAAATTCGTTGATTCTGAGAAAACTTATAATTAAAGAGTGCATTCTGTGCATACTATGTAGATTATTGCTCCTAGTTTAAAAAGTAAGAACTGATGAGTGTCTTTTCTCAGGCAAAATTTCAATCAAATTGACAGCAATTATGCTGTACAGTGACTGCAGAGTGGGGCTTATTGTTAATTGTTTCTGCTTCCCAGATAGCAAAATATATTCAACGCAGCTGCCAGAATAAAATTGAATAAACTAATAATTATAAAAAAACATAATACGATTTTAAAATGCTCTTACCACAAACAACTTCTGAATAATACCACAGTAAGACTACTTTCAAAAAGAAAAAGGAGGAGGGGAAAGCAGTTTTATAACAGAATGTCATACTTCAGCAAGAGCGTTTGTGACATATGGTCTCTGTCCTGGTCTGCAACACGAGGTTCCCACGCAGAACTCAAAACTTGTTTGAGGCCTAAGTTTTGAATTTCTCTTCCATGAGAACCCTTGGACATTTTTCAATTAGCACTGAACTGTTACTTCACTTAAATTATAATGTAGGTAATCTCATGTTTTACAGTTTCCCCATTTCTTGAATGACAAAATGACCACATTAAGAATCGTAGCTGAGCATTTCTAAAGCAAGTCATGCTGTTAAATCAGCGTAGCTACTTGAGCGTTGAGTACTAAATCATATAAATAAGCCAGAATGTGGCCCCCTTAAAAAGTAACTATATGTTTTCTTTTTGGTTTTAGAGTTTAAGACATTCATATAGCAGGTGACAAGTATATTAAAATACAAAATTAGCAATTACAAATACTTTAATGGTTTTGGATAAGGCACTTTCAGAAAACATTTACCAAAAAGAAATTTAGAGCCACTTGTATCCTACTTGAGGTCACATCTGCACACAAATGAGGGGATACCATGATAACTTTATAACTATAATAATCTCAGTTTGTCTCAGTTTATAACAATTTACCTACTCAAAATAGAAGACACTAACAACAAAAAGCTTTACATAAGGAGATCTAAATTAAGCACACTAAAATACACTTTTGTTCACCAGGTCTTCACTCTAATCACCTTTCTTCACAGTCTTCTTTACAGAGGGTCAACTTGATGAATATTAAGCATCTATTGTTAAGTCTACTAAAAATTTGTAAAGCAAATGCCTGGTTTATGGTAATTTTTTCTGTCTTTCTGAAATGTTTCAGGAAATCAATATGATATTAAAAAGAATATACACTGAGAAATTGTTAGGTCAATAAATCTTAATAAAAATTATCAAGTTCTGTTTCAGAATATCAATGGAATCATCACTACAGGGTGGCTGAACCACAGCAGTCATGATTAAAAGCAACAGAGAAGAGCTTTGATTACCTTAGTTGACCTGTGGGAATACTTTCAGCTGGTTTTTTTGGATGGTGATATAAGACAGAAATTGTCTGTACTGCTTGATTTGTAGCTGTCTATGTGTCTGATACTCCATCACAGCTCTGATTTTGTTTGATGTGTAGAACAATCTTGAAGTCTTGACCTTCTTGATACCATTGCTGATTGCAGGCAAAGGTTATGGGCAAATAGAAGTTGTCTAAAGATTTTCTTCTCTTCAATATTTTCCACAGCCATTTTTGCATAGGGAGAGAGCAATTTTCTGAAACAGAAATATAATAAATATAGTTAAAATTTTATCTTTTTGCTCTGGTCTTTCCAATACTTTAAATTAGGAATGATTGACTGTAAAGAGTTCAGAAAAGCATACAGCAACTTAATTAAAATTGGAAAACATCTCATGAAACGGTGTTAATTGTTTCATCCTAATTCTTCTTTCTGCAAACTATGAAATTATTTCAGAATTCAGCTCAATTAATCTTTGCACAAGCTAGGATCAGAATGGGAATTGAGGTGTTCAAGGCCAGGCTTAGGGCAACTTGGTCTAGTGGAGGGTGTCCCTGCCCATGGCAGGGGGGTTGGAACTAGATGATCTTTGAGGTCCTTTCCAGCCCAAACCATTCTATGATTCTATGATTCTATGAAATTGCTGTAGGACAGGATTATGGAGAAGTAAGGTAGGTATTTCAGCTACACTATACTGCACTGGCTCTGAGTCTGTGATAGTCTTCCTTAATAAAAAATGAGCATTAAATTATCTCATAAAGCTAAAACAAAAAGGTTTTATTTGCATAAAAACATTAAAAATAATGAGAACAAAAGGCTCCAGCTTTCAATATGAGGCTACTATTAATGGCACAAAATTACTTTATACCATAGGCCAAAAGTCTAGAAGGGATATTCACCCATGTGAAGATCACACAATCTCATTTTGTCCAGTCTTTGGAAGATCCAAATCAGCACTAGTATAACTGTGCTGACAGCAGTATCAAAGATCAAGAAGAAGCAAGAAAGGAATCAGATGAGATCAAGCCCTCATTCTTCTTTCATATTCAAAATAACTCTTAAGTGTCAGAATATTCCCGCTATAAATTACAAAAATGATGTCACAACAAATCTAAACTTCAAAATTTGTCCACGTGAACTGCAGTCTGTTTACCTAGGAAATCCTTGAACTAATATACTATCACAGGAATACTTAATATTGGAGTTCAACCAAAGAAAACTCTTTTTAGCATTATGAGTCCGAACGCATTATTCTGTGTTTTGAATTCTGACTACTGACAGCAAGAGGACATTATTTTTTGTAAATACCCTTTTTCTTAAAAGACTGGTTTGTTACCCACTTCAAGAACAGAAAATAACTACAAAACCAGAAACAAATTTCATTATACAATAAAAATCTATTGATTTTGCCATTATTTAATCTGTAGATAACTTTCTTCTTTAGCAGATAACATCCTTACTTACTACTCATGAACTATTTTGATAGAATATTAACAGTACTGTTAGCATTATCTAGGAATTATATTGTTTACATGAAAAGTAAACCATTATGCAAGTAAGTACTGGTCTGGTGTAGAAAAAGGACAGTATTTTTCAACAATATATACTATCTATGAAATCTCCTGTCACTAAATTACACTTACAGGGAAAATACCTACAGGACTACTGGTATTATTGTTCCTCAGCCCTTGTCCAGCGTTTTCTTAAAATTTCCGATCATCCTACCAACTATTGATACATACAGTGTATGTAAACCCTAGGGTACTTGTGCACACATTCCAGTTCCTTAACTGAGGTGGTTTCAAACAGAAAATGCAAGCACACAATTACCAAGAGTAATCTTACTCTTGCAGTGCTATCCTGTTTTGTACTTTGAGAAAACTCAAATTTAGAGTAACCCTGGTGGCCATCCTTCTGGAGATTAAATGCCATAAAGTGAAAGTCTTAATATGTGGAAACCTCACCAAAAAAGTCAATTCTCTAGTCAGGAAAAACAACTTGGTACTCCACATTAAAGTAAAATTTCTTCTTAGTCAACGGTAAATTCTGCTCACTGCTAACACCAAGATGTCATGATACTATTTTTACTGCACAGTATGCCCAGATAGAGACATAGAGATAAAAGATTTTGAAACTGGAAATTTAACCAGGAAAAGAAATGAAAAAAAAAACCTAAAAACTTAAATAGTTCTAACAACTTTTTTACCATTTAAAAAAATTAAACTGCTGTTTATTCATGGCCAAAGCACTAAAGTCTTTTTGCAATTATTACAAAAAGAACTTTCACTTTAGGTTAGTTCTACATGCTGAAATTGCTTAGCTACACCAGATCAACATTTTTATTCTCTTGCTGCAGTACAATTTTCTAATTACTCATTACTGTCTTAGTAAAACACATTTCTCCATATTTCTTCTATAAATAGAAAACAACAGATGAAATAAAAGTAAATAGCCCATACAGTCTTCTAAGACATAAATCTGCACATGGCTAATATTTTTTATATACTACTAGTGTTGCCTGTCACATTGTCTCTTTTTCTTATACAGAAGCCATGGAATTTTTTATGGATAGCAATTACTTACAATGTACAATGAAGTACCTCAGATGTAACAACCATCCTTTAGCCCTTCATTATTTGGTCATCTCTTTGTTGCACCTAGTCATCCATTTTCACCTAAATTATGCATTTATGCTGCATATTTGATAAGCATGTGTTCTTTTATTTTTTCAGTAGTGGTTCATAAGATAAAGTGATTTATTTTAATATTCTCATAATTAAATTTACCTTATTATTTTTATTTTTGTACTTGCACTTCATGCTGGATTTCTCAAAAGAAGCATTATCTGCTTGGCAAAGGCATTTTATGTATAATGGCAATATCAGACCTTAACCACAATGGAGACGCTAAGCAAATCTTCTATTTATTCATTATTTGTTTTCATTGTTAAAGTATTTTTCCCAGCCATCCTGTATTTCACATTTGTTTGCACTTACGTTATTGTTGCACTACATGTATGTATGCTCCAGATAACCATATTCATACATCTTTATATTGACAGATGAGAACATGATGTTGCGTGTGTTGTGGTCCTGAAACATTTTCAGGTACAGGCCTGCATTAACATCTTCGTAAGGCTTGTGAAATTTCTAAATTTAATTTTATTATACAGGAAACTCATACTATACATCATTTACATGGCAAAAACCAAAGCCTAATAGTTTAGTGAATGTAATATGTTTGGGAAACTGCCTTCATAACAAGTCACCCAACAAAAGGCACCTTTACACACATTATCTGTATCGCTTTGGGAGGGACCTTCTTCAACAAATAATGCCACAAAGCTCACACCTGCCAAGTAAACTAAACTACTCTCAACTCATACAGCAGTTGGAAAGAAAAAGTGATGATTGCTTTCCTTTTATTAGGAAAGACAAATCTTCTCCTTTTCTCCTAATCCTCTTTCCAATTTCAGGCTGTCACAAAACTACAGTCCATCCCAAATTAATACACCCCTAGAAAGTACAGGCTGCGTGTGAAACTCATGTCTCACTAACATTGCTGGGAATTTTGCCAATGGCTTGAATAAAAGTTTTCTCCTGGATCTCTGAGTTGATGAACAGAAAGGAACTGCTTCTCCTTTCCCTGTCACCTCCCCACTGGCACCCCAGCATCCCACAGACCTCTGGCCATGAAAGGTTTTCCCTCAGTACTCCCAAGAGAAGAAAATAAACTATACTGTTCAGTCAGGCAACTGGTGTTCAATGCAGAGGAAAATGTTTAAACAATCGTTTTTGGATATCACAATAATCTGTCAGTGGTTACTACCTCATCTCGCTGAGCCGAGAAATTAAACAGCACCCAATACGTCTCTTCTGTTTGTGGTAGTGCAACCCCACGTGCCAGAAAAAGGGATTTTCTTTCAGTGCCTGCAGCAGACAAAACCTGCCCAATGCCTGAGGAACGAACCTCCCACACTGTGGAACAGAAATTGGCGGGAAAAATGAGAACATGCATTTTCTTGACCAAAGTACGCGTTCACAAATAAATTTATGATTGAGTCACCACAGCACAGTTTTACTATCTAGGTAGAGATAACAAAGTAAACAAAAATCTGTGAAAGTTTGAAACTCAGGTGTCACTCACACTTGCACAGCTGAAGTGTCCACCGTCTGCTCCCACGCTTCTCTCTGAAGCAGCGGAAAAACGGGCAGCAGCACCCTGGGATCGTAAAGGGCTGTGAGGGCCCTGGCGGCATCCTCCTCCTGGGGATGTGGCTGCTGGGCTCAGGGCCAGCTCACAGACAGCACA